GCCTCGCTCGCCTCACCCTAGTTACGGCTCTGGAACAAACATAAGTATATATGTATAATATTATGATAATATAGTAATAGTTTATACAACTGTAATTGTACCTACAAGCGCAGCCGATCCTTGCATGTCGATAGAGTAATAAATGATGATAGTTATAAATAGTAATCAAATTTATATTGAATCACTTTGTGGAACTTTTTTTTTTATCTACAGTAATTAATTTCCGTGGCCATCGATTGATCAAATTAATTTCTAATTTTGAAGTCTCTCACGCGCCCTTCCGATTTTGGCGCCCTGTGCCGTCGCAAGCGTTGATCGCGTCTAAAGCCGGCCCTGCGTAACACCAAAACGACGCGGAACGCTTATTACTGTGTTCGCGTCGTAATCATTAGCGAACACAGGGTTTTTTTTTTTTTTTTGGGGGGGGGGGGGGGGGGGTGAGGTATGCCATTTATAATTTACCATAATAATTAATGTTGAGCCTATGCAAACATATTGTTAAACGTTGTACAAAAACAGTGTATACTATTTATATTTGTACATGGAAAATAAACCCCTAACATGATATTATTTGTTATTATTCTGCATACTTGTACTATTATATTTAATTATATTAAAATAAATGTAATAAATATAATATATTTTATAATTTTATTATATTTCTTAATTTATCATGAACAGTTTATAAGGTCAACGAAAACTAAATAAAAATCGTTAGTTTGTTATAATGGAATAATGTATGCACAACAGCATAATTTTATAAACGTAATGCCGATCTTATTTGTAAAACTTGATCAGGTGAGGTAAAAATTTAACGAAGGAAGACATTTTGGGTGGTTATGACCCCTTAACCACCCCCCTCCAGTATGCGCCACGTGCGTCGACCGACGGTGTACCGCCGCGTAGGTGCAGACGGATAGGCTCGTCGAGGGACGCGGTAACGGTCGAAACCGGTCCCGGCGCGAAACACCGCCATGACGTTCGTGCCTTGAGAACGCGGAAAAAAACGTGACGCGGACACCCCCTCGCGCGCGCGCGCTCGTCTTCACGCAACGGTTCCCGGCGGACGGTGGTTTTCGCGCGTCTCGCGGGCCGGCGTCGAGTAAATCTTTTCAGCGCCGCGCGTCGGCCGGTGGCGTACGAACGGACAGCTTTGGGGTAGAGTGAGATAAATCCCCCCTCTTCTGAAAAAAAAAAAGAGATGATCGGAACGGAAAACATCATGAACGTGTTTTAGCGTTTACGCTTAAAAACATGTACTATTCGTCGATCGCGGTGGAATCACGAAAACGTTTTCGTCCGGGGAGGTATACAAATTGACGTTTGACGTTGACATAAAAACCATGTTTTATAATTCAATCCCCACCCCCTGAGGGATTACACACACACCCACAATCGATTATATTTTTGTGCAACGCTGCTCGTGTTTGGGGCACCAGAAACGAAGTGAACTGATTCAAACGATTGAGACTTTGTCGTTTTGTACGCAGATCGCTTTCCATTCGGAAACAATATTACCAGAGTAGTTGAAACAATTGCACGAAATCACGTATCCCCTGCGCACCGTACGCTTTGAACGCATTGGACGCAGTCGGTGCTACTAAATTCGCTAAGCAACCCGACCGCTTTCTCGTCCGAGATCAAAAAGTTCACGGGTAGGTCAGGCCTTTTCTGATCAAAAGTCCTTTTTATGTGCCGCGCGTAAAATGCCTAGATCACGATGGGCCAATTTACTCGTATAACGTAACGGAAACCTACTCGCTTACATGCGATGCGTTGAACGGACGCTGCTCGCGCGCGATCAAAGTTGACGACCAGGCTGCTTTTGTCATCGCTATTCACCGGCCTTTTCACATTCCGACGAGTAAAATGGTTTCGCGTAATCGACATGGCCAGCAAAATCGCTTGCGACTAGTTGCAGTTGGAAGATGGTGTTGGAGGCTGCGGTTCGCGCCACAGGTGTTGTTTTCATCCCTCGTTTACTGCGCCTGGAGTTGGAAGAAATGGAATAAATTATTAATTGTTCATAATATTTTAGAAAAAAAAAATCGCTAATACTTTTATTATTCCGCTTCATTGTCTAAAACTTAAAAAAAAAAACGCCACAAACACGTTAACTCATAATTAATAAGATACTCTATGATTTTTATCAATAATACTTATTGTTTACCACGCGACGTCACATGCACGGGGGAGCGAGCGAGTTTATTAGCTAGAGTATAGTCGGACAGGTCCGAGCAGCGAGTGAGAGTGAGTTAGGCCCAATATCGTCGAGGCTTAAGTACTGCGTATCAATTCGCGCCGATTCGTAAACGATAAATTATGTGGTTTTTTTTTCTAGTCCTCTCGCACGCTGTCCCGTCGTTTGAACTGTTATGTTTTTCCGAAACTATTCGCGGACGATACAGTTTTAATCGGTGGTGCACACGGTCGAAAGTTTTCCCTTCCTTATACCGTACGGTCGAGACCGTCTACTTGAATATTTGCGATTGTGGGTGATTTTTTTTTACATTTTTTTTTTCGATTATCGTTTCGTCGCTGTATAATATTGCGAATTGTTTTCACTCGATTGTCCCACGAAAAACAATACAAATGTACCGAAGCACTACTTTCACTGCGCGCACGATAAAATTTCACTCGTCCAAAAACCCGTCCGATGTAATACGGACGGTATAACGTCGCCAGAAACAGTGACAGTAAGTGACATATCGTTTTAAACGCTGCGCCGCGTAAATACGATGACGTTGTGTTTGTATGAGAACTGACGTCACGTACACCGTTGGTGAAAACGTTTTTGGATTCGGAATCGAATTCGTCACACGACAAATGCAATAACCGTAGGTGCACGTACATGTCGGGGGTCGTGTTGTTGTTATTGTTACGATCCGCGGGCAGTAGCAATATGTGAATATCGTGAACGATGCATCAGCAGAACGTCAATACGATAGTTTTTGTATAATATTTAGGGTTCGGGACTTTGTGCACACAAATTATACGAAATATGCATGCATATGTGCATTTAGAATAACCGAAATATGCAACTGAATATTTTTTAAATGTCAAATAAAAAATTTGATTTATTCGTTTTAATTTAAACGATTTTTTTGTAATTAGTTATTTTTTGAGAACAATAACACTATCAACATTATATTACCGAAGTGTATGTTCGATTTCTTATCGTCGATAAACGATAGTATATGCAGGAATAATTAGGTGTTTCCCTAGTTGTCAAATCCAGTTAATGTTTATTATCTCATCTTTATTAATAAACCGAGCTATACGGAGAAACAATTACTGATTACGATTATTATTAGGTATATCGAATAACGCATGAAAGTAAAAAAAAAAATTAACCTTTAAAATAAATGTACTTAACACAAAACAAAAACTGCATAAATATGCTATAAATAACAATTGAACTGCCAACATTTGTCAAATATGCATTTTGCTTCAGAAAACGACAAAATATGTAAAAATATGCAATTAAAATGTTTGTATTTCAATATGTTATGACTTAATACAAATTTAAATCTTACTTGGACTATTCTTCAGTTGTTATTAAACAATATACAAATGCAACAAGTCTCGGACCCTATTAATATTATAATATGGACCACGAGTAGAACAGATTGTACGTGTACTCATATTACTGAAATGTGTGCGTATAATTAATACAGGGTTTCCGAAAGAAACAGACATCGTATCAAACCTATGTGCACTATAAGGCTCTGCTGTGGTTTTGTTTTTCAACCGCGCAACGCGTATGATATTCCCGTGTTACCATATGCATCATCCAACCAGTCATAATAACCTTACTTATGTTTTCAAAGTCATTGGAGAAAATATGAAAAAATATCGCGCGCATTGTCTCCGTAAAAAGAAAGACATGCAACGTCGGACCGGTGGAATATATTATGTACACACACGTACGTACTATATGTAC